TAAACTTCTCCACTATTTTTCTTTTTCAGTTTGTTGCTTTGTAATGATACACTAATCAGACCAAACATCCAATAACATGAACCCACAAACATTTTGAAAAAAAAAATTAGCACCTGTGTTACTTTTCTGTCAATGTGAAAGTGAAATGTCAAAATCTCTTTTCACTAACAATAGCAATCATTCCATGAAGACTATGTACCTGACCCAGTTTTAGGCACCTTACATCTATTAGCCCATCTAATCCTATGAGGTAGGTACCAAAATCACTCCAATTTTTTTAGATGGAGAAGTTGAGGCCAAGAAAAGATAAGTAAATTGTCCAAGGTCTCACAGCTGGTGTCAGAGTAGCTCTAGGATTCATTCACTTTGCCTGCATACTCTGTACACTCACTCTTGTATATTCGAACTGGTGGTGATGGTTATGTGCCATGGAGTTGGTTCCAGCTCATAGCAACCTTGTACAGGGTTTCTGAGGCTGTAAATCTTTACAGGAGCAGAAAGCCTCATCTTTCTCCTGCGGAATAGCTGGGAGTTGCTGACCCTGAGGTTAGCAGCCCGATTCGTAACCACTACGCTACCAGAGCTCCTTATTCGAACTAGAGGCTCTCAACAAATGCTCGGCAAAACTAAATAATTACAGCAACCATTTATTGAGTCTTTAACTGTGTATGAGGTATTAACGGTAGACTTTTTTCACATTTATCCTTTACAACATAGGGGCTTAGGTCTTTTATGACTGTGGTGAAAATATACACAAGAATCTGCCAACCCAGCAGTTTCAATTATATTCTTCAAGTTGTGCAACCATCCTTGTTATCCTTTCCAAAATTTCAAAACATTCCATCACTAACATAAACTCAGGAGTCCTGGGCGTGATGCTGTGTGGGTCAATGAGCTAAACTGCAAAGTCGTTTGATCCATAAGGTCAGTGGTTCAAGCTCACCAGCTACTCCTTGGAAACCCTATACAGGGTTGCTATGGGTTGGAACTGACTCAATAACAACATAAAGCCAATACCCTCCAAACAAAAACTGTCCCTTCCCCACTTCTCTGCTACTCCAGATAACCACTAGTATTTGGTTTCTATATTATGTACTTATTTTGTAAAGTGAGATCATATACTATTTGTCCTTTGCAATTGACTTAATTTTGCTCAGCATGGTACTTTCAAAGTTTACTCATGTGGTATATATCAGGGTTTTTCTTTATGGCTAAGTAATACTCCAGAACTCCTGGTGTGGCACTATAGGATCAGCACTGGATTGCTAACAGAAAGGTTGGTGATTCAAACCCACCAGCCACTAACTGGAAACACTATACAGGGTCATTAAGTCAGAGTCAACTCGACAGCACTTAACAATATTCCATTACATATACTTGTATACACCATCTTTTGTTTATCCATTCATCTGCTGGCCATTTAGGTTGCTTCACCTTTTGGCTGTTGCAAATAGTTCTATAAAGGACATTGATGTACAGTGGTGGGTGGTTGCATGCCACCACGCTGGTTTCAACTCATAGTGACCCTGTAAGTCTTTACAGGAGCAGTGACTGCTGGATTTGAACTGCTGACCTTGCGGTTAGCAGCCCAGCCTGTAATCCACTATGCTACCAGGGCTACATTGTGTACAGTTGTTGTTCTTGTGAAGTGTCATCGAGTAGATTCCGACCCATAGCGACACTGTATAGGGTTTCCAAGGAGCAGCTGGTGAGCTTGAACCACAGACCTTGCAGTTCAAATGGCTTTGCAGTCAGGCGCATTAACCCACAGCGCCACACCAGGACTCCTGGTGTACAGTAGCCTTGCTTTAATAATATCCCAATTTAATGACAGAAGCCCAAGCTATTACTGAAACTGTTAAAAAAGAGTCCCCCTACCTCCTGGTATGGCACTCTAGGATCAGCACTGGACTTCAAACCACAAAGTCTGCAGTTCAAACCCACCAACTGCTCCTTGGAAATCCTAGAGTCAGAACTGACTTGACAGCACTTAACGATAACAAAACCCCCACTGAAATATAGCGCTAGAGGATAAGTACTGAACTGCTAATAGCAAGGCCAGAAGTTCAAACCCACTAGCAGCTTCTCAGAAACCCTATACAAGATCACTATGTGTTGGAAATGACTCGACAACGCTTACCAACCAACCCCAACAGAAAAGATGTTGTTAAATGCCTTAAGAGTCAGTTCCAACTCAGCGATCTATATAAGGTTTCTGAGGAGTGGCTGGTGGGTTTGAACCAACTTTGCAGTTAGCAGTCGTTCTTCTCCTATAGCATCACACCAGGACTCCAAAAAAGATATGTGATATTAATTTCCTATGCTTCAAGGGCTTGCCCTTCCTCCTAAAGGGTTAAAAAACAGTGGGTGCCTTATTAGGCACAATGCTAATGCAACAGCTAAATTTATCAGCTGCTATTTAAGAATTGTTCTTGGACACGTATCTCTTGCCCTGCTGACACATGCTACAGTTAAAACCAAGAAAATCTGTGCCTCTTTTTACAAAACTTAACACTAATTTAGAGGCAACATTGTATTTCACTTAAAGGTAGTTACTTGCCTTTTCTTGCACTACATTAAATACTTTACAAAATCAAATTTAATAGAGTGACATAAATCTTAATGACTTAGGGACATCTTCCCCCCATAGGATTGTTCTTAAAATATTTACAATCAATATTTTAAAACAAAACACAAATACCCAATTTTTTAAAAACGTAGGATATTTTTAGCTTTTTTTACTTATAACCAATAAATGAATGATTGACCATTAAGATTTGCTTCATACAATTTAATTGCATTCTAAAGTTAAAAAATTCTTTAATGAACATCTGAAGTACCCAAATCCAGTGAATAGGACAGAGGTTACGTCCTCTTCCATTGCTACTCACTAAAGTGCTACTTCATACTCTTGAGAGCTGAACCAAAAATCACCTAATTACCCAGGTCTTCTGCTCCAAAGGAGGCCATTTTACAAACAAGAAAAAACATGCTGTATTTGGGTGTGCCCCTTTAAGTAAATGCAAAACCCCAGACCTACTAAATCAGAAACTCATAAGGTGAGTCCATCAGTCCAAACTGTTGAGCAAGTCTTCGGGGGATTCTGCTGCACACTAGATTGGAGAAGCACTGAATTCAATCTTCAGTTCTCGTGGATGAAATAATTTATGAATGAGAAAACTAATACAGGTTAACTAACTGGTACCAGTGAAATGAGATCACAAATCATCTCGAGGGGCAGTTAGGTGGCCACACTAGGGCCTTGACACCTCAGGTCTGGCTCTTCCCTTAAGGACCAACACTTAGGATTTAGGGAATAAGATGGAATTGGAAACTAGTTGAATCCCCAGTAGTAGACAGTTCAGAAGACAGTGACCAATGGAAACCAGCCATTAATGAACCCAGTCTAGCATTATAGCATTCTTGACCAAACCTGACTGGCTATAGGTGGGTGACAAACTGTTTGCAACATGTTCAGGGACGTGTCAAACAAATGCATGTTCTTAACCACAGACCACTCATCACATCAGTGGAAAAAGCCAGTTGATGGGACATCACTTAAGTGCACCATTAATGTAAGGCAGACGTTATCAGAGCAGGAAACACTTTTATTCTTCAAAGCAATTAAGAAATAGGAATAAAAGCTGTACTTGTTGGTCATCACATCGGCCATTATCAGAACTGTACATGCGAGTAAGAAAAAACACGCTTTCTGAGATGCTCCTCACTGGATGATCTGCATTAGTTCTATGACACGAACAACACACATGATGAGCCTGTTCTAGTGATTCAACGGGACACTGGACTTTTCTTTGTTGCAGCAGATGAATAAAGAATTTAAATATATATGTGTAT